AATAAATTTGGATAAAATAACACAAAAGTTAAATTCCTTAATGTCCAAAAACAAAATACCACAGTAGATTTTCAGAAAAAGTTCCTTCTTGTTGTTGTTTCCACCCAGTTTTGAACTGGGGACCTTTGGCATATAAACGTGATGACCACTACACTACGGAAATTTACATAGCTGTGATTTTCACATTTTGTTTGATGATTTTGGATAAAAAAAACACAAAAGTTAAATTCCTTAATGTCCAAAAACAAAATACCACAGTGGATTTTCAGAAAAAGTTTCCTTATGTTGTTTCCGACCAGTTTTGAACTGAGGACCTATTGCGTGTTAGGCAAACATGATAGCCACTACACTACGGAAACCTACACTGTTGTAATTTTCACATTTTTTACTATCATTTTGGATAAAATAACACAAAAGTTAAATTCATTAATGTCCAAAAACAAAATACCACAGTAGATTTTCAGAAAAAGTTCCTTCATGTTGTTTCCGCCCAGTTTCAAACTGGGGACCTTTTGCGTGTGAGGCAAACGTGATGACCACTACACTACGGAAACCTACATTGTACTCATTTTCATATTTTTTAAAATAATTTTGGATAAAAAAAAACACAAAAGTTAAATTCCTTAATGTCCAAAAAGAAAATTCCACAGTAGATTTTCATTAAGAGCTCCTTCAAATTGTTTCCGCCCAGTTTCGAACTGGGGACCTTTTGCGTGTTAGGCAAACGTGATGACCACTACACTACGGAAACCTACATTGTACTACTTTTCATATTTTTTTCAATAATTTTGGATAAAATAACACAAAAGTTAAATTCCTTAATGTCCAAAAACAAAATACCGCAGTAGATTTTCAGACAGAGCTCCTTTATGTTGTCTCTGTCCAGTTTCTAACTGGTGACCTATTGCGTGTTAGACAAACGTGATGACCACTACACTACAGAAACTTACATGGTTCTAATTTTCACATTTTTTTCAATAAATTTGGATAAAATAACACAAAAGTTAAATTCCTTAATGTCCAAAAACAAAATACCACAGTAGATTTTCAGAAAAAGTTCCTTCTTGTTGTTGTTTCCGCCCAGTTTCGAACTGGGGACCTTTTGCGTGTTAGGCAAACGTGATGACCACTACACTACAGAAACCTACATTGTTCTCATTTTCATATTTTTTTTCAATAATTTTGGATAAAATAACACAAAAGTTAAATTCCTTAATGTCCAAAAACAAATTACCGCAGTAGATTTTCAGAAAGTGCTCCTTCATGTTGTTTCCGCCCAGTTTATAACTGGGGACCTATTGCGTGTTAGGCACACATGATAACCACTACACTACGGAAACTTACGCATTTGTAATTTTCACATTTTTTTCAAATCATTTTGGATAAAATAACACAAAAGTTAAATTCTTTAATGTCCAAAAACAAAATACCACAGTAGATTTTCAGAAAGAGCTACTTCATGTTGTTTCCGCCCAGTTTCTAACTGGGGACCTATTGCGTGTTAGGCAAACGTGATGACCACTACACTACGGAAACCTACACTGTTGTAATTTTCACATTTTTTTTCTATCATTTTGGATAAAATAACACAAAAGTTAAATTCATTAATGTCCAAAAACAAAATACCACAGTAGATTTTCAGAAAAAGTTCCTTCTTGCTGTTTCCGCCCAGTTTTGAACTGGGGACCTTTTGCATGTGAGGCAAACGTGATGACCACTACACTACGGAAACCTACGCTGTTGTAATTTTCACATTTTTTTCTATCATTTTGGATAAAATAACACAAAAGTTAAATTCATTAATGTCCAAAAACAAAATACCACAGTAGATTTTCAGAAAAAGTTCCTTCTTGTTGTTTCCGCCCAGTTTCGAACTGGGGACCTTTTGCATGTGAGGCAAACGTGATGACCACTACACTACGAAAACCTACATTGTTCTCATTTTCATATTTTTTTCAATAATTTTGGATAAAATAACACAAAAGTTAAATTCCTTAATGTCCAAAAAGAAAATTCCACAGTAGATTTTCATTAAGAGCTCCTTCTAATTGTTTCCGCACAGTTTCGAACTGGGGACCTTTTGCGTGTTAGGCAAACGTGATGACCACTACACTTCGGAAACCTACATTGTACTCGTTTTCACATTTTTTTCTATCATTTTGGATAAATTAACACAAAAGTTAAATTCCTTAATGTCCAAAAACAAAATACCACAGTAGATTTTCAGAAAAAGTTCCTTCTTGTTGTTTCCGCCCAGTTTTGAACTGGGGACCTTTTGCATGTGAGGCAAACGTGATGACCACTACACTACGGAAACCTACGCTGTTGTAATTTTCACATTTTTTTCTATCATTTTGGATAAAATAACACAAAAGTTAAATTCATTAATGTCCAAAAACAAAATACCACAGTAGATTTTCAGAAAAAGTTCCTTCTTGTTGTTGTTTTCGCCCAGTTTCGAACTGAGGACTTTTTGCGTGTTAGGCAAACGTGCTAACCACTACAGTAATGAAACTTGCACAGCTGTAATTTTCACATTTTTTTCAAATCATTTTGCATAAAATAACACAAAAAAAATCCTCAATGTCCTAAAACACACAAGAAAAATCAGGTGGATTTTCAGAAAAAGTTTCTTCATGTTGTTTCCGCCAAGTTTCGAACTGTGGACCTTTTGCATGTTAGGCAAACGTGATGACCACTACACTACGGAAACCTACATTGTATTTATTTTCATATTTTTTTCAATAATTTTGGATAAAATAACACAAAAGTTAAATTCCTTAATGTCCAAAAACAAAATACCGCAGTAGATTTTCAGACAGAGCTCCTTTATGTTGTCTCTGTCCAGTTTCTAACTGGTGACCTATTGCGTGTTAGACAAACGTGATGACCACTACACTACAGAAACTTACATGGTTCTAATTTTCACATTTTTTTCAATAAATTTGGATAAAATAACACAAAAGTTAAATTCCTTAATGTCCAAAAATAAAATACCACAGTAGATTTTCAGAAAAAGTTCCTTCTTGTTGTTGTTTCCACCCAGTTTTGAACTGGGGACCTTTGGCATATAAACGTGATGACCACTACACTACGGAAATTTACATAGCTGTGATTTTCACATTTTGTTTGATGATTTTGGATAAAAAAAAACACAAAAGTTAAATTCCTTAATGTCCAAAAACAAAATACCACAGTGGATTTTCAGAAAAAGTTTCCTTATGTTGTTTCCGACCAGTTTTGAACTGAGGACCTATTGCGTGTTAGGCAAACATGATAGCCACTACACTACGGAAACCTACACTGTTGTAATTTTCACATTTTTTCTATCATTTTGGATAAAATAACACAAAAGTTAAATTCATTAATGTCCAAAAACAAAATGCCACAGTAGATTTTCAGAAAAAGTTCCTTCTTGTTGTTTCCGCCCAGTTTCGAACTGGGGACCTTTTGCGTGTGAGGCAAACGTGATGCCCACTACACTACGGAAACCTACATTGTACTCATTTTCATATTTTTTTCAATAATTTTGGATAAAATAACACAAAAGTTAAATTCCTTAATGTCCAAAAAGAAAATTCCACAGTAGATTTTCATTAAGAGCTCCTTCAAATTGTTTCCGCCCAGTTTCAAACTGGGGACCTTTTGCGTGTTAGGCAAACGTGATGACCACTACACTACAGAAACCTACATTGTTCTCATTTTCATATTTTTTTTCAATAATTTTGGATAAAATAACACAAAAGTTAAATTCCTTAATGTCCAAAAACAAATTACCGCAGTAGATTTTCAGAAAGTGCTCCTTCATGTTGTTTCCGCGCAGTTTCTAACTGGGGACCTATTGCGTGTTAGGCACACATGATAACCACTACACTACGGAAACTTACGCATTTGTAATTTTCACATTTTTTTCAAATCATTTTGGATAAAATAACACAAAAGTTAAATTCCTTAATGTCCAAAAACAAAATACCACAGTAGATTTTCATAAAAAGTTCCTTCTTGCTGTTTCCGCCCAGTTTCGAACTGGGGACCTTTTGCATGTAAGGCAAACGTGATGACCACTACACTACGGAAACTTACGCATTTGTAATTTTCACATTTTTTTCAAATCATTTTGAATAAAATAACACAAAAGTTAAATTCCTTAATGTCCAAAAACAAAATACCACAGTAGATTTTCAGAAAAAGTTCCTTCTTGCTGTTTCCGCCCAGTTTCGAACTGGGGACCTTTTGCATGTTAGGCAAACGTGATGACCACTACACTACGGAAACGTACATTGTTGTAATTATCACATTTTTTTCTATCATTTTGGATAAAATAACACAAAAGTTAAATTCATTAATGTCCAAAAACAAAATACCACAGTAGATTTTCAGAAAAAGTTCCTTCTTGTTGTTGTTTTCGCCCAGTTTCGAACTGAGGACTTTTTGCGTGTTAGGCAAACGTGCTAACCACTACAGTAATGAAACTTGCACGCAAAAGGTCCAAATCCAAAATGGAAAATATTTCTCAATCATTTTGGATAAAATAACACAAAAGTTAAATTCCTTAATGTCCAAAAACAAATAACGCAGAGATTTTCAGAAAGTGCTCCTTCATGTTGTTTCCGCCCAGTTTCTAACTGGGGACCTATTGCGTGTTAGGCAAACATGATAACCACTACACTACGGAAACCTACACTGTTCTAACTTTCATATTTTTTTTGATCATTTTGGATAAAATAGCACAAAAGGTAAATTCTTTAATGTCCAAAAACAAAATACCACAGTAGATTTTCAGAAAGTGCTACTTCATGTTGTTTCCGCCCAGTTTCTAACTGGGGACCTATTGCGTGTTAGGCAAACATGATAACCACTACACTACGGAAACCTACACTGTTCTAATTTTCATATTTTTTTCAATAATTTTGGATAAAATAACACAAAAGTTAAATTCCTTAATGTCCAAAAACAAAAAATACCACAGTAGATTTTCAGAAAAAGTTTCTTCTTGCTGTTGTTTCCACCCAGTTTTGAACCTGGGGACCTTTGGTGTGAGGCAAACGTGATGACCACTACACTACGGAAATTTACATAGCTGTGATTTTCACATTTTGTTCTATCATTTTGGATAAAATAACACAAAAGTTAAATTCCTTAATGTCCAAAAACAAAATACCACAGTAGATTTTCAGAAAAAGTTCCTTCATGTTGTTTCCGCCCAGTTTCGAACTGGGGACCTATTGCGTGTTAGGCAAACATGATAACCACTACACTACGGAAACCTACACTGTTGTAATTTTCAATTTTTTTTCAAATCATTTTGGATAAAATAACACAAAAGTTAAATTCCTTAATGTCCAAAAACAAAATACCACAGTAGATTTTCAGAAAAAGTTCCTTCTTGCTGTTTCCGCCCAGTTTCGAACTGGGGACCTTTTGCGTGTGAGGCAAACGTGATGACCACTACACTACGGAAACCTACATTTGTAATTTTCACATTTTTTTCAAATCATTTTGGATAAAATAACACAAAAGTTAAATTCCTTAATGTCCAAAAACAAAATACCACAGTAGATTTTCAGAAAAAGTTCCTTCTTGCTGTTTCCGCCCAGTTTCGAACTGGGGACCTTTTGCGTGTAAACGTGATGACCACTACACTACGGAAACTTTCACATTTGTAATTTTCACAATTTTTTCAAATCATTTTGGATAAAATAACACAAAAGTTAAATTCCTTAATGTCCAAAAACAAAATACCACAGTGGATTTTCAGAAAAAGTTTCCTTATGTTGTTTCCGCCAGTTTTGAACTGAGGACCTATTGCGTGTTAGGCAAACATGATAGCCACTACACTACGGAAACCTACACTGTTGTAATTTTCACATTTTTTTCTATCATTTTGGATAAAATAACACAAAAGTTAAATTCATTAATGTCCAAAAACAAAATACCACAGTAGATTTTCAGAAAAAGTTCCTTCTTGTTGTTGTTTCCGCCCAGTTTCGAACTGAGGACTTTTTGCGTGTTAGGCAAACGTGCTAACCACTACAGTAATGAAACTTGCACGCATTGTTCCAAATCAAATTTTTTTCAATCATTTTGGATAAAATAAACACAAAAGTTAAATTCCTTAATGTCCAAAAACAAAATACCGCAGTAGATTTTCAGAAAGTGCTCCTTCATGTTGTTTCCGCCCAGTTTCTAACTGGGGACCTATTGCGTGTTAGGCAAACATGATAACCACTACACTACGGAAACCTACAGTTCTAACTTTCATATTTTTTTTGATCATTTTGGATAAAATACACAAAAGGTAAATTCTTAATGTCCAAAAACAAAATACCACAGTAGATTTTCAGAAAGTCACTTCATGTTGTTTCCGCCCAGTTTCTAACTGGGGACCTTTGCGTGTTAGGCCATGATACCACTACACTACGGAAACCTACACTGTTTATTTTCATATTTTTTTCAATAATTTTGGATAAAATAACACAAAAGTTAAATTCCTTAATGTCCAAAAACAAAATACCACAGTAGATTTTCAGAAAAAGTTCCTTCTTGTTGTTTCCGCCCAGTTTCGAACTGGGGACCTTTTGCGTGTGAGGCAAACGTGATGACCACTACACTACGGAAACCTACATTGTACTCATTTTCATATTTTTTTCAATAATTTTGGATAAAATAACACAAAAGTTAAATTCCTTAATGTCCAAAACAAAATCCACAGTAGATTTTCATTAAGAGCTCCTTCATGTTGTTTCCGCCCAGTTTCGAACTGGGGGCCTTTTGCGTGTTAGGCAAACGTGATGACCACTCACTACGAAACTTCCATTTGTAATTTTCACATTTTTTTAAAATTTTGGATAAAATAACACAAAAGTTAAATTCTTAATGTCCAAAAACAAAATACCACAGCAGATTTTCAGAGTTCCTTTTGCTGTTTCCGCCCAGTTTTGAACTGGGGACCTTTTGCATGTAGGCAAACGTGATGACCACTACACTACGGAAACCTACATGTTCTAATTTTCACATTTTTTTCAATAATTTTGGATAAAATAACACAAAAGTTAAATTCATTAATGTCCAAAAACAAAATACCACAGTAGATTTTCAGAAAAAGTTCCTTCTTGTTGTTGTTTCCGCCCAGTTTCGAACTGAGGACTTTTTGCGTGTTAGGCAAACGTGCTAACCACTACATAATGAAACTTGCACGCTGTAATTTTCACATTTTTTCTCAATCATTTTGGATAAAATAACACAAAAGATAAATTCCTTAATGTCCAAAAACAAAATACCACAGTAGATTTTCAGAAAAAGTTCCTTCTTGCTGTTTCCGCCCAGTTTCGAACTGGGGACCTTTTGCGTGTGAGGCAAACGTGATGACCACTACACTACGGAAACCTACATGTTCTAATTTTCATATTTTTTTCAATAAATTTGGATAAAATAACACAAAAGTTAAATTCCTTAATGTCCAAAAACAAAATACCACAGTAGATTTTCAGAAAAAGTTTCCTTATGTTGTTTCCGACCAGTTTTGAACTGAGGACCTATTGCGTGTTAGGCAAACATGATAACCACTACACTACAAAACCTACACTGTTCTAAGTTTCATATTTTTTTCAATAATTTTGGATAAAATAACACAAAAGTTAAATTCCTTAATGTCCAAAAACAAAATACCACAGTGATTTTCAGAAAAAGTTTCTCATGTTGTTTCCGACCAGTTTTGAACTCAGGACCTATTGCGTGTTAGGCAAACATGATAGCCACTACACTACGGAAACCTACACTGTTGTAATTTTCACATTTTTTTCTATCATTTTGGATAAAATAACACAAAAGTTAAATTCATTAATGTCCAAAAACAAAATACCACAGTAGATTTTCAGAAAAAGTTCCTTCTTGCTGTTTCCGCCCAGTTTCGAACTGGGGACCTTTTGCGTGTTAGGCAAACGTGATGACCACTACACTACGGAAACCTACATTTTCTAATTTTCATATTTTTTTCAATAATTTTGGATAAAATAACACAAAAGTTAAATTCCTTAATGTCCAAAAACAAAATTCCACAGTAGATTTTCAGAAAGAGCTCCTTCATGCTGTTTCCGCCCAGTTTCGAACTGGGGACCTTTTGCGTGTTAGGCAAACGTGATGACCACTACACTACGGAAACCTACATTGTACTCATTTTCATATTTTTTTCAATAATTTTGGATAAAATAACACAAAAGTTAAATTCCTTAATGTCCAAAAACAAAATACCACAGTAGATTTTCAGACAGAGCTCCTTTATGTTGTCTCCGTCCAGTTTCTAACTGGTGACCTATTGCGTGTTAGACAAACGTGATGACCACTACACTACAGAAACTTACATGGTTCTAATTTTCACATTTTTTTCAATAAATTTGGATAAAATAACACAAAAGTTAAATTCCTTAATGTCCAAAAACAAAATACCACAGTAGATTTTCAGAAAAAGTTCCTTCTTGTTGTTGTTTCCACCCAGTTTTGAACTGGGGACCTTTGGCATATAAACGTGATGACCACTACACTACGGAAATTTACATAGCTGTGATTTTCACATTTTGTTTGATGATTTTGGATAAAAAAACACAAAAGTTAAATTCCTTAATGTCCAAAAACAAAATACCACAGTGGATTTTCAGAAAAAGTTTCCTTATGTTGTTTCCGACCAGTTTTGAACTGAGGACCTATTGCGTGTTAGGCAAACATGATAGCCACTACACTACGGAAACCTACACTGTTGTAATTTTCACATTTTTTTCTATCATTTTGGATAAAATAACACAAAAGTTAAATTCATTAATGTCCAAAAACAAAATACCACAGTAGATTTTCAGAAAAAGTTCCTTCTTGTTGTTTCCGCCCAGTTTCGAACTGGGGACCTTTTGCATGTAAGGCAAACGTGATGACCACTACACTACGGAAACTTACGCATTTGTAATTTTCACATTTTTTTCAAATCATTTTGGATAAAATAACACAAAAGTTAAATTCCTTAATGTCCAAAAACAAAATACCACAGTAGATTTTCAGAAAAAGTTCCTTCTTGCTGTTTCCGCCCAGTTTTGAACTGGGGACCTTTTGCGTGTGAGGCAAACGTGATGACCACTACACTACGGAAACCTACACTGTTCTAATTTTCATATTTTTTTTATCATTTTGGATAAAATAACACAAAAGTTAAATTCCTTAATGTCCAAAAACAAAATACCACAGTAGATTTTCAGAAAAAGTTCCTTCTTGTTGTTTCCGCCCAGTTTCGAACTGGGGACTTTTTGCGTGTTAGGCAAACGTGCTAACCACTACAGTAATGAAACTTGCACAGCTGTAATTTTCAATTTTTTTTCAAATCATTTTGCATAAAATAACACAAAAAAATCCTCAATGTCCTAAAACACACAAGAAAAATCAGGTGGATTTTCAGAAAAAGTTTCTTCATGTTGTTTCCGCCCAGTTTCGAACTGGGGACCTTTTGCATGTGAGGCAAACGTGATAACCACTACACTACGGAAACCTACATTGTAATTTTCATATTTTTTTCAATAATTTTGGATAAAATAACACAAAAGTTAAATTCCTTAATGTTCAAAAACAAAATACCACAGTAGATTTTCAGAAAAAGTTCCTTCTTGTTGTTTCCGCCCAGTTTCGAACTGGGGACCTTTTGCGTGTAAGGCAAACGTGATGACCACTACACTACGGCAACATACACATTTGTAATTTTTACATTTTTTTCCAATCATAATGGACAAAATGATAAAAATCAATGTCCTCACAAGAAAAATTTGGTTGATTTTCAGAAAAAGTTTATTTAAATTGTTTCATATTTTTTTGAACATTTTGGATAAAATAACACAAAAGTTAAATTCCTTAATGTCCAAAAACAAAATACCACAGTGGATTTTCAGAAAAAGTTTCCTTATGTTGTTTCCAACCAGTTTTGAACTGAGGACCTATTGCGTGTTAGGCAAACATGATAGCCACTACACTACGGAAACCTACACTGTTGTAATTTTCACATTTTTTTCTATCATTTTGGATAAAATAACACAAAAGTTAAATTCATTAATGTCCAAAAACAAAATACCACAGTAGATTTTCAGAAAAAGTTCCTTCATGTTGTTTCCGCCCAGTTTCGAACTGGGGACCTTTTGCGTGTGAGGCAAACGTGATGACCACTACACTACGGAAACCTACATTGTACTCATTTTCATATTTTTTTCAATAATTTTGGATAAAATAACACAAAAGTTAAATTCCTTAATGTCCAAAAACAAAATACCACAGTAGATTTTCATTAAGAGCTCCTTCAAATTGTTTCCGCCCAGTTTCGAACTGGGGACCTTTTGCGTGTTAGGCAAACGTGATGACCACTACACTACGGAAACCTACATTGTACTTTTCATATTTTTTTCAATAATTTTGGATAAAATAACACAAAAGTTAAATTCCTTAATGTCTAAAAACAAAATACCACAGTAGATTTTCAGACAGAGCTACTTTATGTTGTCTCCGTCCAGTTTCTAACTGGTGACCTATTGCGTGTTAGACAAACGTGATGACCACTACACTACAGAAACTTACATGGTTCTAATTTTCACATTTTTTTCAATAAATTTGGATAAAATAACACAAAAGTTAAATTCCTTAATGTCCAAAAACAAAATACCACAGTAGATTTTCAGAAAAAGTTCCTTCTTGTTGTTGTTTCCGCACAGTTTCGAACTGGGGACCTTTTGCGTGTTAGGCAAACGTGATGACCACTACACTACAGAAACCTACATTGTTCTCATTTTCATATTTTTTTTCAATAATTTTGGATAAAATAACACAAAAGTTAAATTCCTTAATGTCCAAAAACAAATAACGGCAGTTGATTTTCAGAAAGTGCTCCTTCATGTTGTTTCCGCCCAGTTTCTAACTGGGGACCTATTGCGTGTTAGGCACACATGATAACCACTACACTACGGAAACTTACGCATTTGTAATTTTCACATTTTTTTCAAATCATTTTGGATAAAATAACACAAAAGTTAAATTCCTTAATGTCCAAAAACAAAATACCACAGTAGATTTTCAGAAAAAGTTCCTTCTTGCTGTTTCCGCCCAGTTTCGAACTGGGGACCTTTAGAGTGTAAGGCTAATGTGATGACCACTACACTACGGAAACCTACATTGTACTTATTTTCCTATTTTTTTCAATAATTTTGGATAAAATAACACAAAAGTTAAATTTCTTAATGTCAAAAAAACAAATTACCACAGTAGATTTTCAGAAATAGTTCCTTCTTGTTGTTTCCGCCCAGTTTCGAACTGGGGACCTTTTGCGTGTTAGGCAAACGTGATGACCACTACACTACGGAAACCTACATTGTACTCATTTTCATATTTTTTTCAATAATTTTGGATAAAATAACACAAAAGTTAAATTCCTTAATGTCCAAAAACAAAATACCACAGTAGATTTTCAGAAAAGAGCTCCTTTATGTTGTTCCGCCCAGTTTCTAACTGGACCTATTGCGTGTTAGACAAACGTGATGACCACTACACTACAGAAACTTACATGGTTCTAATTTTCACATTTTTTTCAATAAATTTGGATAAAATAACACAAAAGTTAAATTCCTTAATGTCCAAAAACAAAATACCACAGTAGATTTTCAGAAAAAGTTCTTCATGTTGTTTCCGCCCAGTTTCGAACTGGGACCTTTTGCGTGTTAGGCAAACGTGATGACCACTACACTACAGAAACCTACACTTTTCTAATTTTCATATTTTTTTCAATAATTTTGGATAAAATAACACAAAAGTTAAATTCCTTAATGTCCAAAAACAAAATACCACAGTAGATTTTCAGAAAAAGTTCCTTCTTGCTGTTTCCGCCCAGTTTCGAACTGGGGACCTTTTGCGTGTAAGGCAAACGTGATGACCACTACACTACGGAAACTTACACATTTGTAATTTTCACATTTTTTTTCAAATCATTTTGGATAAAATAACACAAAAGTTAAATTCCTTAATGTCCAAAAACAAAATACTACAGATGATTTTCAGAAAAAGTTCCTTCTTGCTGTTTCCGCCCAGTTTCGAACTGGGGACCTTTTGCGTGTTAGGCAAACGTGATGACCACTACACTACGGAAACATACATTGTACATTTTCATATTTTTTTCAATAATTTTGGATAAAATAACACAAAAGTTAAATTCTTAATGTCCAAAAACAAAATACCACAGTAGATTTTCAGAAAAAGTTCCTTATGTTGTTTCCGTCCAGTTTCTAACTGGGGACCTATTGCGTATTAGACAAACACGTGATAACCACTACACTACGGAAACCTACACTGTTGTAATTTTCACATTTTTTTATCATTTTGGATAAAATAAACAAAAGTTAAATTCCCTAATGTCCAAAAACAAAATACCACAGAGATTTTCAGAAAAGTTCCTTCTTGTTGTTGTTTCCGCCCAGTTTCGAACTGAGGACTTTTTGCGTGTTAGGCAAACGTGCTAACCACTACAGTAATGAAACTTGCACAGCTGTAATTTTCACATTTTTTCAAATCATTTTGCATAAAATAACACAAAAAAATCCCCAATGTCCTAAAACACACAAGAAAAATCAGGTGGATTTTCAGAAAAAGTTTCATCATGTTGTTTCCGCCCAGTTTCGAACTGGGGACCTTTTGCGTGTGAGGCAAACGTGATGACCACTACACTACGGAAACCTACATTGTACTCATTTTCATATTTTTTTCAATAATTTTGGATAAAATAACACAAAAGTTAAATTCCTTAATGTCCAAAAAGAAAATTCCACAGTAGATTTTCATTAAGAGCTCCTTCAAATTGTTTCCGCCCAGTTTCGAACTGGGGACCTTTTGCGTGTTAGGCAAACGTGATGACCACTACACTACGGAAACCTACATTGTACTAATTTTCATATTTTTTTCAATAATTTTGGATAAAATAACACAAAAGTTAAATTCCTTAATGTCTAAAAACAAAATACCACAGTAGATTTTCAGACAGAGCTACTTTATGTTGTTCCGCCCAGTTTTAACTGGTGACCTTTGCGTGTTCAAACGTGATGACCACTACACTACAGAAACTACATGTTCTAATTTTCACATTTTTTTCTGGATAAATAACACAAAAGTTAAATTCCTTAATGTCCAAAAACAAAATACCACAGTAGATTTTCAGAAAAAGTTCCTTCTTGTTGTTGTTTCGCCAGTTTCAAACTGGGGACCTTTTGCGTGTTAGGCAAACGTGATGACCACTACACTACAGAAACCTACATTGTTCTCATTTTCATATTTTTTTTCAATATTTTTGGATAAAATAACACAAAAGTTAAATTCCTTAATGTCCAAAAACAAAATACCACAGTAGATTTTCAAAAAGAGTTCCTTCATGTTGTTTCCGACCAGTTTGTAACTGGGGACCTATTGCGTGTTAGGCAAACGTGATAACCACTACACTAAGGAAACCTACACTGTTCTAATTTTCATATTTTCTTTTATCATTTTGGATAAAATAACTCAAAAGTTAAATTCCTTAATGTCCAAAAACAAAATACCACAGTAGATTTTCAGAAAAAGTTCCTTCTTGCTGTTTCCGCCCAGTTTCGAACTGGGGACCTTTAGAGTGTAAGGCTAATGTGATGACCACTACACTACGGAAACCTACATTGTACTTATTTTCCTATTTTTTTCAATAATTTTGGGTAAAATAACACAAAAGTTAAATTTCTTAATGCCAAAAAACAAAATACCACAGTAGATTTTCAGAAAAAGTTCCTTCTTGTTGTTTCCGCCCAGTTTCGAACTGGGGACCTTTTGCGTGTGAGGCAAACGTGATGACCACTACACTACGGAAACCTACATTGTATTCATTTTCATATTTTTTTCAATAATTTTGGATAAAATAACACAAAAGTTAAATTCCTTAATGTCCAAAAAGAAAATTCCACGGTAGATTTTCATTAAGAGCTCCTTCAAATTGTTTCCGCCCAGTTTCGAACTGGGGACCTTTTGCGTGTTAGGCAAACGTGATGACCACTACACTACGGAAACTTATGCATTTGTAATTTTCACATTTTTTTCAAATCATTTTGGATAAAATAACACAAAAGTTAAATTCCTTAATGTCCAAAAACAAAATACCACAGTAGATTTTCAGAAAAAGTTCCTTCTTGCTGTTTCCGCCCAGTTTCGAACTGAGGACTTTTTGCGTGTTAGGCAAACGTGCTAACCACTACAGTAATGAAACTTGCACAGCTGTAATTTTCACATTTTTTTCAAATCATTTTGCATAAAATAACACAAAAAAATCCTCAATGTCCTAAAACACACAAGAAAAATCAGGTGGATTTTCAGAAAAAGTTTCATCATGTTGTTTCCGCCCAGTTTCGAACTGGGGACCTTTTGCGTGTGAGGCAAACGTGATGACCACTACACTACGGAAACCTACATTGTACTCGTATTCATATTTTTTTCAATAATTTTGGATAAAATACCACAAAAGTTAAATTCCTTAATGTCCAAAAACAAAATACCGCAGTAGATTTTCAGAAAAGTTCCTTCTTGCTGTTTCCGCCCAGTTTTGAACTGGGGACCTTTTGCATGTGAGGCAAACGTGATGACCACTACACTACGGAAACCTACAATGTTGTAATTTTCACATTTTTTTCTATCATTTTGGATAAAATAACACAAAAGTTAAATTCATTAATGTCCAAAAACAAAATACCACAGTAGATTTTCAGAAAAAGTTCCTTCTTGTTGTTGTTTTCGCCCAGTTTCGAACTGAGGACTTTTTGCGTGTTAGGCAAACGTGCTAACCACTACAGTAATGAAACTTGCACGCAAAAGGTCCAAATCCAAAATGGAAAATATTTCTCAATCATTTTGGATAAAAAAAAACACAAAAGTTAAATTCCTTAATGTCCAAAAAGAAAATTCCACAGTAGATTTTCATTAAGAGCTCCTTCAAATTGTTTCCGCCCAGTTTCGAACTGGGGACCTTTTGCGTGTTAGGCACACGTGATGACCACTACACTACGGAAACCTACATTGTATTTATTTTCATATTTTTTTTCAATAATTTTGGATAAAATAACACAAAAGTTAAATTCCTTAATGTCCAAAAAGAAAATTCCACAGTAGATTTTCATTAAGAGCTCCTTCAAATTGTTTCCGTCCAGTTTCTAACTGGTGACCTATTGCGTGTTAGACAAACGTGATGACCACTACACTACAGAAACTTACATGGTTCTAATTTTCACATTTTTTTCAATAAATTTGGATAAAATAACACAAAAGTTAAATTCCTTAATGTCCAAAAACAAAATACCACAGTAGATTTTCAGAAAAAGTTCCTTCTTGTTGTTGTTTCCACCCAGTTTTGAACTGGGGACCTTTGGCATATAAACGTGATGACCACTACACTACGGAAATTTACATAGCTGTGATTTTCACATTTTGTTTGATGATTTTGGATAAAAAAACACAAAAGTTAAATTCCTTAATGTCCAAAAACAAAATACCACAGTGGATTTTCAGAAAAAGTTTCCTTATGTTGTTTCCAACCAGTTTTGAACTGAGGACCTATTGCGTGTTAGGCAAACATGATAGCCACTACACTACGGAAACCTACACTGTTGTAATTTTTCTATCATTTTGGATAAAATAACACAAAAGTTAAATTCATTAATGTCCAAAAACAAAATACCACAGTAGATTTTCAGAAAAAGTTCCTTCTTGTTGTTTCCGCCCAGTTTCGAACTGGGGACCTTTTGCGTGTGAGGCAAACGTGATGACCACTACACTACGGAAACCTACATTGTACTCATTTTCATATTTTTTTCAATAATTTTGGATAAAATAACACAAAAGTTAAATTCCTTAATGTCCAAAAGAAAATTCCACAGTAGATTTTCATTAAGAGCTCCTTCAAATTGTTTCCGCCCAGTTTCGAACTGGGGACCTTTTGCATGTAAGGCAAACGTGATGACCACTACACTACGGAAACTTACGCATTTGTAATTTTCACATTTTTTTCAAATCATTCTAGATAAAATAACACAAAAGTTAAATTCCTTAATGTCCAAAAACAAAATACCGCAGTAGATTTTCAGAAAGTGCTCCTTCATGTTGTTTCCGCCCAGTTTCTAACTGGGGACCTATTGCGTGTTAGGCACACATGATAACCACTACACTACGGAAACTTACGCATTTGTAATTTTCACATTTTTTTCAAATCATTTTGGATAAAATAACACAAAAGTTAAATTCCTTAATGTCCAAAAACAAAATACCACAGTAGATTTTCATAAAAAGTTCCTTCTTGCTGTTTCCGCCCAGTTTCGAACTGGGGACCTTTTACATGTAAGGCAAACGTGATGACCACTACACTACGGAAACTTACGCATTTGTAATTTTCACATTTTTTTCAAATCATTTTGAATAAAATAACACAAAAGTTAAATTCCTTAATGTTCAAAAACAAAATACCACAGTAGATTTTCAGAAAAAGTTCCTTCTTGCTGTTTCCGCCCAGTTTCGAACTGGGGACCTTTTGCATGTTAGGCAAACGTGATGACCACTACACTACGGAAACGTACATTGTTGTAATTATCACATTTTTTTCTATCATTTTGGATAAAATAACACAAAAGTTAAATCCATTAATGTCCAAAAACAAAATACCACAGTAGATTTTCAGAAAAAGTTCCTTCTTGTTGTTGTTTCCGCCCAGTTTCGAACTGAGGACTTTTTGCGTGTTAGGCAAACGTGCTAACCACTACAGTAATGAAACTTGCACGCAAAAGGTCCAAATCCAAAATGGAAAATATTTCTCAATCATTTTGGATAAAAAAAACACAAAAGTTAAATTCCTTAATGTCCAAAAACAAAATACCGCAGTAGATTTTCAGAAAGTGCTCCTTCATGTTGTTTCCGCCCAGTTTCTAACTGGGGACCT